TTCCCTGCACTATCACTTGGAGCTTTTTTCTATTTCTGTCCTGCTGCTGATTGCATTGGTACAACTGAGAACCACTGAACTGTGCACAGTTCCCTTCTGAGGATTTACAGAACAAAAACTGAAGCTTGGCTAGTAGGCCTCAGTGGTTAATTCTGCATGATAAGCTGAGTATTCAAGTATGAATTTCTTGTCTAACAAAAATTCCCACTGGTCCCCTTTGGAAAATACTGTAAGAATGCAAAATAAGGTATACCCTGAATACATTATTTAATTTACTGAAGGTTCAATTCTATTCAAAGTTAGATTGAAAAGGAGTTGTAGGCCTTTTTCTATATAATCTTGCATAGAACAGCACTCTTAGTTAGCCCATCATCTCATCTATCATGTTGTGAGGGAAAAAGAAAATTTACAAGTACTTCAAAGTAGTAACATAAATTAAAAGCACAAAATTTAGATTTTAAAATGTTAGAAAATAGTAAATTTCACCAAATGTATTTTATCCACTTGTGGCCCTCCAAATGCTTTGTCCCAACAAAAAGTTCTGCTTACATATGATATGTATGCCTGAGGTCTGCTGAAGCTGTACAAGTTATGTGAACAGAAGCTTAGCCTAAGGACATGGACAGGGTGCCTCAAGAGGTGCAGTCTACCACATCATCCATTCTCTCCTGTTGCGGCCAATACAAGCTAGCTCAGTGATTCCCAAAATGGGCAGTATAGAAAAGATCCAGGTGGGTGGTGACTGATTGTTTTAAATTTGCAGTAGAGCAATAGATCTAATACAAGGAAAGAGGTGTGGGAGTGCTAGGATAGTCACCTAAGAGGAAATGGGATGGCAGCCCAAAAAAGGTTGGGGACCACTTAGCTAGGTGAAGGATTGGATTCGAGATTGTCTCTGAAAGAGGAGGTCTGTTATAGCCACATTGAAACAGATAGTTACGACCATCTTCTGAAGAAGCCCTGCCTGGACCCAGGTATCCAACCCCAGTCTCCTGGGCAGAGTGGTATATATTTGGTAGGGTGCCAGCCATTCAGATCAAGGCATTCCTTGATGGTGTAATTATCTGGACTTATTTCAATCTAGTTTCTTATGCTATTTCTATCTAGTTGCTCTGGAGTTCAGCATTTGAGCAAGAAACAGAGGGGAGCATCCTTGTTTGCTCTTTTCAGTTGTTCAGCAGCATTTGATACCATGGGCGTTTACTATTTCATATTTTAAGCTGTAAATGATCACAAGTATATTGGCAAAAAGGGTAGATACAAATGTGATTATTACACTACAATTCTATGCTACCTTTCTTCTTCTTGCAAGGGACCCAAGATGGCTTACGAGACTCTTCTCTTCTCAATCTTATTCTCACAACATCCCTGTGAGGTAGGTTACACTGAGAACCTCTGACTCACCCAAAGTCACTCAGTGAGTGCTAGAACCCATAACCCCTGAGTTCCCTCCTGCACTCTAAACACCACACTACACTGGCTCTTGAAGAGAGAGGGAGGGACGTATAACAGATAAACATAAACACACTGGCTCACACTGGCACTGGTGACAAACATAAACACACTGGCTCATGCAGCAATTATAAATTCAAAAGTTTAATCTTTTTTAAATGTTAAAAATGTCTTAGTGGATCAATTAGATCAGCCCTGAATTTATAGGCTGCTTCCCTTGATGTATGCAACAGAGTAATAGTTACCATTTACCACAAGAATAAGAACACCATGAAACCAAAACCAGTTATAGCTTCCTGTAATGAATGCTTGTTAGTCAGTACACAATGCACTCCTAAAAAACTGCTGCCTCAACCACATCATGAAACAGTACTATCCACAAGGACTGTGCCTGGAAATCCCCATTTGCATCCTGCCTGGGGAAATCCATGTTATCGTCACCAAAAGTCATAAGAAAGTATATTCCTACATCATATCCAAAAATCCATTCCTCTGTTCGAAGTGGCCTGGCTGCCCTTTTACGTACGTCAGCTTTCCTTTGGAGAAGGTGGCATGAATTTCTAAGCAGATTGAGGTTGAAAACCCCGAACCTTTACGCAGTGATTAGAACCAAAGATTCAAGTTGAGAATGTAATCTCTCGTGTCAACTTTAAATATTGAATCTAGGATGCAGAATCTGCTTGCAGAAAGTCCTTCCACCTATTTTGGAGAATTCCTCCTCCTCCACAGACTACTGTTTATGCCATTTAGCAGGGGTTTCCTTTGTAAAATTTTCAGGGGGCTGGAATAGTAGAGAAGTTGGCTTCTGCTGGTACAGCTGACCCATTAAATCTGGATCCAACCCTACATATGTCATACAGTGACTGAACCGCAAAGCATTAACAGTTGGAATTTCTACATAAGAAGAAAATGGTCCAAATTTCCTTAAACAAACAAACCTAGAAATATAGTACCATCCATTTCTGGTCTTTCTGCATGGAAGAAATAGGGCAGGATAAATTATGCTGGTTCCAGATGTTGAAGGGATTTAAAGATCAAGAAGAACAACTGGACTTGAGAGAAACTAGAATGCTTCCAAGTACAATGACAAGTTGAATGTTCTAAGCAGCTGTTGAATGTGTCTGGTGGCAATTCTTTTTAAGAGGCAGATTGATGCATTTTGCCTCTGCTAATACCACATGTTAAAAGTTACAGCAGGTAACTCTATATTATCTCTCTTTACTTAAAAATTAGGGCAGGGGACATAATCTAGACTGGGATCCTAGGGCTCTAGGGGACTTTCAGCCTTTGGCCTCTGCTACAGTACTGAACTGAATTGTGCCCTGCATGCCTACAATTTGATTTGCCAAGAAAGAGAATCCATTTGTTTCAATAGAACCTTTTCTGGAAATGCCAACTGCAGGACGGTGTATGTGTGGGTGAGTGGCAGAAGGTAAGGTAGGATTAAAGCCTTCATTCCTCATGAGCAAGGATCTTGATCCAAACTGAATCCACATTAAAAAAAATGAATAAGGGGACAATCCTATGTCTGCTAGGCAGAGTCTAGATATCTATAGGATTACAAGGAATCCTAGCGTTGTCCTTGGAAACTCACTCCAGCTGGAGCTGGAACTGGATTATGAGGGTTCTCTTTGACAGAAAGAACTGTACCAGCTGTATTTCTGAGGTTGCAAGGACATCCTAGATGGATTTTTGTTTTTGAAAGTTAAGACAGATGCCGCCAGCATACACAATGTCCTGGAGGTATCTCAGCTTCCTCTCTTTCCACTTGAGGGCAAAATATTGATGGTTGAAATGGTCCATCTAAGTGTTTGGCAGGGTGGACTTACTACATTCTTGACCTCTACTAATAAGTGAAGCCTGCATACTGGATGTAGTCGAAAAAATAATTATGATCAGATACCCACATGACCTAAGGCATGACATCCAATAGGATACACTTGCTTTGTACTTGATTACCACCAGAGCTACCATTCTAGTAATTAACCATTCTAGTACCATTCTACGTACCAAAATACCTGTGCCCTAGATTTCTCTATCCATCACCACATCTCCAAGTTCTATTTTAAGCTCTGAGATTGGTGCTCCTGGCTCTGAGAATAATATAACTAGGTTTCATAAGTATGCTGTTAACAATGTGTTCTGAAACAGCATAATACATATGTTTAAAAGTAGCTGTGATGAAATAGATCTTTGTGAAGATAGTTGCAAGGGACTAGAATAGTACTCTAAGTTATTTCAAGGAACTGTCCTGTCAGAAAGAAGTGGAACCACTTAAAAGAAGTCTCCTAAATTTTCCTAGATTTTTCAGGTAATCCAAATAACACGTTCTTTGATATGAATAAAAAATGCTGGCAGGTCCAGTAAATCTATATGATTTTAGTACTCCACAATTCATAAATTTCCTCTGAATCCCCAACATGCATGGATTTACTCAGTTATAACTGAAATGTATTCTGTGCCCGCTAAGTGGGATTTCTGAGTGCCCACAAATCTACTTACTAAGAAGCAAAAGGGGCTGACTGGGCAAAAAAAGGTCTGCCATCAAGCCCTGTTGCCATTTTCTCTCCAGTTGGAATCCATGGAGGTGTATGGTGCACCTGTGTCTCCACCTAGCTAGCCTTTTGTCCAGGTCAGACCCCTTTCTCCTGATTTATTCTGAAGGACACACACCACCTGACCACTTGTTAGCCTTCTTTTGTACAAATGTTCTTCACTTGACTCTTTTATTTAAAATCCCAGACCACAGTCAAGGGCTATGAGTTTAGTGTGGGTAGTTGCTGAACTATGGGCAGTTGTTGAAAGATGGATTGAGCTGTCCTAACCAAGCTGCTCTCAGAAGCTATGGCTTGTTCACTACAAACAACCCATGAAGGGTTTGTTGCTGGGTTGCAAACTGTGGGTTATTCACCATGGCTTCTTATTTTGGTGGGGTTCAGAGAACATTATAACCCACCTTGCAACAACTGGCGGCAGTTCAGCAACAACTGAGCCTCAGCTCTCGAGTGCAGATCATTGTACCCACTCACCGTTAGGGCGCTGTGCAAAAGTTCAAACTAGGGCAGGGAGGCGATCTTGCCAGTCCCAGCCGGCAAGGCGAGGCCTGCCCTTTTCCCGCAAAGCGGCAGCCTCCACTGTTTACATCGTGCCTCGCTGGCCTGGCTTCCAAAGCAAGCAGTGGGCGAAAGGCGCCGAGATTTACTGGAAAGGCCCACCCAGAGCAGGAGCTCGTGGCTCCCCCGGCCATGTTCGCCAGGAAGAAATGCCGCACCCGGGCCGGCCGGACCCCTCTCCCTTGCTCCCCGTCCGGCAAGGGCCGGGAAGCGCGCAGGCTCCGCGAAAGCCCTGCCCGGGCGCGGCCGGCGCGTAGCGTGCCCGGCGCCGCGGAATCCGTCGCCCGGAGGCTTGTCCTGCCGCGCCAGCCGGCCCACTTTCCCTCCCAGCGGCGCCTCCAGCCGCAGCGGTGACGCAAGGCGGGCGCGAAGCTCCGGAGATGCCGCTCCGAGGACAGCTCCCTCGGCGCCCGCCACGGCGCGGCTGCGGCTTACCTCTTCGGGAGGCGCCGCGTTCCCGTTGCCCGCCATCAGCCCGTTCATCTCGTGGGTCTCCGTGGTCGATCCCATGGCGCTGCGGAGGCGGCCGGGCCTCTTCGCTTCCTGCTAGGCGAGAGCGGTGAGGAGAGGAGGGCAGACAGGCTGCCCGCCAGCTGCAAGAGCTCTCGGCTTGTGCGCGGACCTGGGAGGCAGCGCCGCTTTTAAGGATGCAGCTTTCTCTTTCGCCTGCCGGCTTGCGGCAAGGACGTCGCGCTGGGAACTTGGCAGAGGAAGTCCGTCCCGCCTCGGACTGACAGGGGCCGCCGCCGCAGATGTTCAGTGGGGCGCGGAACTTCCCTTTGGTCAGCAGCGGCGGAGCATTTGCTTGCAAAAGGGGAGGCGGCGGTGGCGGCGGCGGCATCTGTTTGGGCGCCGTGGGCCTTACGCGGGCCTGCCCGGCTCTGCCAGGGCGTTCCTCGAGCTGCCACTGTGCCGCTTTTTCTACGAACGTGGGAATCGGCTTGCTCTTCTTTCTAGCTAACAATGGCTAGCTAACTTTCTAGCTCTTCTTTCTAGCTAACAATGGCTAGCTAAGCCCTTTCTAGCTCTTCTTTCTAGCTAGCAATGGCTAGCTAACTTTCTAGTTCTTCTTTCTAGATAACAATTGCTAGCTAAGCCCTTTCATAAACACCGGGAGAACCAGCGAAGGCAACGAGAGGCCTATAAATATCCTATTGAATCCCACCTGCTGTTCCCTTTGACGATGTAGCGGCCTCAACTTCATGATTGTTTGGACCATGTCAATAAAAATAATTTTCTAGAACCGACCAGTACCCAAAACACATTGTGTGAGCTTTGGACTTAGCCATCTTCACCTTGTGTATGCAAGGGGACTGCGGGGAGCAAATAAAATGTTTCTTTGTGTACTGTATTTTGCTTACTCTATCTCAGTATCTCGTTTCAGGTCGAACTTTTATGTACAGTCGTGCATTTCCAGCTCCCATGCTAGTTTCTGTATTAGAAGAATTCGCTCAGACCAGAAGTAACAGCAAGGGAAGGAGCTGCTTAACCCTTCCCCTTCCTGCCAATTTGCTCACTCAGAAATGCCCTCCTCTACCTGCTTATACTTTTCCTGTGCATAAAGAGGGCTACTCATATCTTTGTTCCTGTACGGAGAAAAATAGCTTGCATAGATGACTTTGGACATGTGGTAGGAAGTAAAGGAATTAACACCCTCCCCCGCCCCGGCCCCCATTCCTGGCAGTCTCTTTAGGTCTGTTACTTTTTAAAAAAACTGCTAGGAGAAAGAGGCATGCAAACTGGATATAACATGTGGCTCCCTCATTTGTTTTACAAAGTGAATGGATGATGATGTCCTTGCAGACTTACCCTCACACTGAAACCTTGATTTGGACCAATGAGAGAACGTTTTGAATTTCCATTCAAGTATAAAGTTTATGAGATCACCTTGGACTGGTCACTGTCAACTTAAACCACACTACAGCACAGGGTAAAATGGAATCAGCTCCATGTATATTACCCTGTCCTTGGAGAAATGACAGAATACAAAGATGATAAAACATGAGAGCAGAATACATGCATTACAACCTTAACCTGTTAAGATCTAGTGTGGTCTTGTATCTTTCTATCTTGTATCTTGCACTTGCTTTGTTGATACAACAGACACATTCTTCAAAAGAAGAAACAGTTAATTCTCTTTGGGGAATTTCCAGCTGCTTGGAGCCATTAGTTTGGCATGGAGACTTAGGAAGAAATAACATATAAGTGAGTAACATGAAGCAAAAGATGCTTTGACACAGGAATAACCAGCTCCTGGCCCATATCCCTTTTACACTGCCACAGTGCACTTGTAGTGATCCACCAGTGATCTCATCTGGAAGGTGTCCCTCCAAGCCAGGAATGAGAGGCATTCCTTCATTGCTGTGTTGAGAAAAGACCTTGCATATTTGCATATTTCTTTTTGCCTGGTCAGGGCTATTCCCTGAGCAATTTTGTCCAGAAGCTGCTCTGGCCAGTCAAAAGAAAAGTGAGAAATCTTGCTTTTTCCCTGGCTAGTGGTCACTGCACCCATCTGACACTGGGACTATCATAGCTTCTAATGCAGACCCAGCAGAGGAAGGAGTCTGCTGAGTGGTTCTTCTGGCAAGGGACTCAGAGGCAGGATAGCAGCTTGGCAGGCTCAGGAAGTTGGTCATCCCTGGACTAATCTAACCTGGAACATACTTAATACCAAGGTAGTTAAATAACAAAGGGTCAAATAGTTTGGAACTAAAAGTCTAAGTTACCACTAAAGCAGTTGCAGTTTTTCAGACATTTCAGTGTTTGAAATTTAATTTTAGTGTACTTTGCATTTCGCTTTCAACAGAAAGATGCTGTGGTCACTTTTTCATTTGCAAAGCATGCTAACATTTTTTCTTCTTCCCTTAAAAACAGGTCTGTGGTTAAGTTGTAATTGTGAACTAAAATGGTGTAGTGCACAGAACATAAACAAGAGAGGAAGGCATTTGTATATCATGAAAGTTCTCAAGTGCCTGAAGAAAATATTATTCTGTCCAGTGCCTTCCTTTCTGAAGAGGCCACATATCTTTCCGTGGAGACAGAATGTTCACATTCTGGTTATCTCACCCTTCCAGGTCAATTCCGTCAATGTGCCATTGTACTCAGCAAAAAGCATTTTAACTAACTACACTTTGTGCTAATGAAATCCATTACTTTCTTTGTTGTTTAATCTCTCACAGTAAAGAAGAACACATCTCTAACGTGTTTTGTGTAATAAAACATTCACAAACCATTGGGTAGATCAACCAGCGATAAGGAGAAAAATCAGCAATAGTGAATCAATTGGGAAAGCAGTACATAACACTGCTCTACAAGGAGAAAGCCTCAGAAATGAAAGTAGCTAAATTTTACCAGAATTGGGTCACTAACAAAGAAAAATTAAGTCCTGAGTATTAATTGGCTCCAGTTTCCAAGATACAGCTTCAGGTCAAAATTGCATCAAAACAATTCAAAATTACAAGGGGAGGATGTGATTATGCTCCTTAACTTTTCTGCAAAATGTGATAATGCAATGAGAATGGTGCCACAACAATCATTATAAATTTATCTTTTTATTGATACCAACATAACTTTCCATTCATTTATTTTTCATGTAACATTTTCATGCATTTTGCATGAAAAAAATGACAAGCTCTAACATCTTTATCATCATCTGAGTCTAGAGAGTAGGATTCTGGTGGATCTGGAATGGGTAAGTCCTCACCATGAGGTACAGGACACAGTGCGAACTGAATGTTTGCATCTTCCACAGTCCACTTCTTTCTTGAAATCCCTTTTGCAACTGGGAAACCCAAGCAAAAATAGCATTTGCTGCTATGATTGGGGGGTTTCCTCCACACCATTGGGACTGTGAAGGGCATGGACTTTTTCTTCTTTCGCCACTGACGCAGATAAGTCACACATGTAATGCAACAATAATGGGGGGCCCAACTCTTGTCCTCATCCCGTTTTGCATCCAAAATATAGGTGCTATGCCTTTTTTACCACTGCCATCATACTGCACTTTTGAGATGCAAATGTAACCTCGCCACAAAGGTAGCGGAAGTTATATGCATTGTTTACACACTTCTGATGCATCTTGGCTTCTGAGGGAAATACCACACAACTGATCCTTGAAAATGTTAGACAATGACACTTTCACAAGCCACCAGATGTAACTGTATAGATCTGACCAAGACCAATGTACCTTGCAATAAGAGAACTATAAATTACAGTTAGGTAATAATGTTTAGTCTCAAAGCAAAGATACATTTATACACTTCCATGTGGTATTATTTTCATCGTTCTTCTGTACTTTGTCAAGAAGTTATGAGGCATCATGATCATCAGGCACCTCCTCTTGCACACAAAGATGCTCTCCTGTGTATAAATCTTTAATGTGAAATATCTTGAAAACTTTAGCCAACCAGCACCTTCATCACCTGTTTTCTAATTCATCCAATCAAAATATGTAAGAATTAGCACATTTTATCTTGGAGATTGATAATTTCCCAAAATTTGTAGACCCGTGAGAGAATACTGCATTGTAGGGCAATTACTTGCTTTGTGTGGATAAAGAAGGGATGGCCATTACAAAATGATGACAACTGTGGTTAATATATGTTTTAATTTCCTTAAGCAAGTTCAGCATTCTCAATAATTTTCACAGAGTAAGTTGCAAGCTACGAAAGAAGGTCAATATGCTATTTTAGGATGCCCAGTAAACTGATGTAAGGTTACACCCTAAGACTTTTTTAATATTAAGAACTTCCTTGTTTTACTCAGCTTTATGTGGTCTCCAGTGGTGGTAGGAATAAATGTACATAGGCTGGGATGCAGAGAAAGAAACGCAAAGCAAGAAGCGACAGTTAAAGGCAGCAGAATGCCATGAATGCATCCCAATTGTAAGAAAACAGTGCACATATCCAAAGTATATGAATATCAATACACCTTCTTAATGCCCAGTGTGGACATGTATAAAAGCCTAATTTTGCTAAGATCTGATGAAGTAGGTCAAATAGTGCTATAGTAAACCAAGACTGCAATGTTGTACACACTTATTTGGGATTAAGTCCCATTGCACTCAGTGGGATTTAGTTCTGAGCAAATCTACGCAAGGACTGCCCTGTAATTGGCCTTTAATGTAGCAAGATGCCGTAGGACGCTTTGGACAGCTTTCACATGCACAGGTGAACAACACACTCTTGTTTTTTGTTCACAAGGCTGCTCTTGAAGGCTGGCCAGCCCTCTGAAGAGGCATTTGATGAAATATAAGAAAGTACAGTTAGAAGCGGAACTTGTGGGAAACCACAGTTTGGGAAACACAGAAGCACTGGGATGCACTCACGTCCCCTTTTTCTTGTCCTGTGTGCTGCAACAGCATGCTAGTTGCCTCACACATCATCATTTTCCTGCATAGGATGCACTTCCATTGAGAAAGCACCCCAAAAGGGGCTGTGTCTAGATTACCATGCCTGATGATGGCATGAGATGTCAGAGCAATGGGACAGTGGAACCAATTGCCTAGAGAGGTTGTGGGCTCTCCAGCACTAGAGACATTCAAAAAGAAACTGGACAGCCATCTGAGTGGGATGGTGCAACAGCAGGGGGTTGGACCTGATGGCCTTCATGGCCCCCTCCAACTCTATTCTATGATTCTATGTTGGGTTTCTTTGTTTTTTGTGCCTGCAGTCACCAAGTCAAACAAAATAATAGAATTTATACGGACAACTAGCGTGCTGTGTTTTCAGATTTCTCCACACAAAAGCCTCTTCCATGTTTAAAAAATAGATTGCAAGTCATCCCTGATTCAGATATTCCTCTAGAATTTATACTGTTGTCCTGTACAGAAATTAGTTTGGTGAACAGGAGATTCCAGTTAAGCAAACAGTATTTTGAAAGGAATGATTATTTAGTGGGATGTGAATGCAAGAAGTTTCAGCACTGTAATAATGAAGTTCTTTAGCTTTCCATTTTGGAAAGTCAAATTTATTCTTTCTTTTTATCTGGTAATTTGCTTAATTTTTAAATCACACTTGTTTGTGGTTAGACAAAGTACTTAAAGAGATTCCTATTTTTTTAAAAAAAGACATGATTGAGTGTTGAACCATTATAAAAGCAAATTATGCAAGCTGGCTATTCTGAGCAAGTGCACACGTTTAAACCAATTTGATGAGAT